AGTTGTGGAGGGCGCAGCTCCTTGGCCCATGCGGGGATCAAACCAGCAACCTTGGTGTTATGAGCACTGCGCTCTAACCACCTGAGCTAACCGGCCACCCCAAAGTGTCTTTATTTGAAATAATAGTTATTCCTTTTAACCACCCCCCCTTTCACTTTTCTCCTATTCTCATATATTTTTTTCCCCCTCCACTTTCCACTTTTCTATCTGTACGACTTGCTTCTCCTCCTCCCAGGTAACCTTGCTTGCAGAGTTAACTGTATTCTTTTATATCTCTCTTTTTGCTCATAAAATAAGATGGAAATATATATGTACCTAAGTAGATTTCTCTTCCTATCTCTTATAAAATGGAATCATAGTTTATATGTACATTTCTCTGCATCTTGCAGAAATGGAAGATGGAGGCCCCTGCAAGTCAGCCGGTAGAACTTTAAGAAATTCTTTTTGAATGGCTGTACAACATGTCATGATATAAAGGTGCCACAATTTATTCACCCGTTCCTCTACCTTTGGGCACAGTACACTTTGTTTTTAGGGTTTTACTGCAACCACGATCACTCCACATTGAAAATTCACATCCCCATATATTCTGGTGCTTTTATTTCTATGAGATGGGTTCTCAGGCATGGGATTGCTGGGTCAAAGAATACACGAAGTTGCTTTATTTTGATACATGTTGCCAGATTGCTGTCCAACAAGGTCATAACTACTGTGATGTGGCGAAGATGGTCCTTCCCAGCCGGTAGTAGGTGTCAGCACGCTTCCAATTTGCCAGGCTGGTGTGAGTGAAGTGACATCTCCTTACTTAACTTGCATTTCCCTGACTCCCAGGGAAGCTGAACATCTTTTTAGGTTTATTCGCCATTTGGGCTTGTTCTTCTTTGCATAGTCTAGTGACGGCTTCTGACAGTTTTTATTCTGATACTAATTTGTAAAAGTTCTTAGAATATACAGATCGTAACTCTTTACCGGATGGATAGAACGATCTTATCAAGTGCTAGGTAGGTATAGTGTTGTGTGTTTCCTTCTAAGATTTTAATGATTTTATTTTTCAGGTTTAAGTATTTAACTCATCTGGAATTTATTTTTGTTCCAATGATGTGAACTACGGTTCTGATTTTATTTCTTTGGTCTCTATACTGTCCTATATAGTAGCCTCTAGCCACATGTGGCTATCGAGCGCTTGAAATGTGACTGGTCTGAACTGAACTGGGTTGTGTGTTTAAAATATATGCTGGATTTCCTAGACTTGATGTAAAAAAAAAGTAAAATGTTTCACTAAAAACTTTTATATTGATTGCATGTTGAAATCACAATATTTTGGATAAATTGGATTAAGTAAAATATTAAAATTAACTTCACATCTTTCTGTTTTACTATTTTTAATGTGGCTACTAGAACAAGTTTTAATTAAATACACAGCTTGCATTATATTTCTACTGAACAGCCCTATTCCAGGTAATCAATTTTGCCAGAACTATTTCTTAAACATTATTCTTTTATATGCCTCTTGAGGGGTGTATCTATTTTATTGCTTATAAGTAGACATCTGTCTTAATCATCACTTCCCATCATCTTTTGAATAGCCCTTTTTATATTTGGAGAAATTAATCAAACTCAAATTCCCAGCCTCCCTCAACATTAAGATTGTGTATTTGACCTTTGTGAAATGACAGGGTAGGGAGCTCCATGGGGACTTGAGTTCTCCATGGAGTTTCCATTTCCGTAGGCCCAGGTGGCACAGGCAATGACCTTTGATGATGGCAGTCCCAGCAGTGGTTTCAAGGTCAAGGTCCTGGCACTGGGGGGATGGTGATAGCAGTGGAAGTTCCTTCACCAGGCAGCACTGGGTATGGTTTGGGGTACTGATTAACCTTGAGTCTGGCTTTTCAGCCCTCATAACAATATTGTGAGCTACTCAGTATCGCTTTAATAATAAACTTGTTTTCCGCTTAATCATCAGAATCAGCTTCCATTGCAATATGGAACCCAGTATAGAACTTCGGCTGATATACTGGGATTTTGTTTTTCCTCAAAGAAAGGGATTTGGGATTTATTTTTCCTAGTATTTCTAACAGATCTTTTTTTTTTTTAATTGGGGGACAGTGTGTTTTTCCAGGACTCAACAGCTCCAAGTTAAGTAGTTGTTTCAATCTAGTTATAGAGGGTGCAGTTCAGTGGCCCATGTGGGGATCAAACCAGCAACCTTAGTGTTATGACCACTGTGTTCTAACCAATGGAGCTAACCGGCTGCCCCAAAGGTCTCCTATCTTAATGAGTTCTCTTTTCCTACTTTTTTTTTTTCCAGCTTATTTTCTTGTTCTTTTTCTGTTTCTCAAGGAGGTTGTTGTCTCAGCCTGGGTCCCCCCAGACAACAGAGCCTATTGCAAAAAGTTTACCTGCTAACACTTCAGAGGAAGTACCACCTCAGACACACCAGGTTGGGGGAAAAGTGAGGCAGGGATGGAGGAGGCCAAAGTTAAGAGGGCATGTTACTGAGAGGACCACAGTTTTGTAATTAGTGCAGGTAAGTGCCCAGGCTCACAGTACACCTTCAGAGGCTGTGGGAAGTACCCTGTCTGGGAACATCCCTCAGGAAAAGAATGCGAGCAGAACCAATCCACTCACTCCTTCTTGTCCTCCATGGCTTACAGTTCAAAGTCCGCCCCACAGGGCAGTAACCTGGCACACGCAGGCTGTATTACCTGGCCTCTCCAGACTGTGGCTAGGAAGCCAGAGCTTCCGCCATCATTCTAGCCAGTACATAGAGTTGTCCATCCTTTCTGTCAGTGCTACCCTAGGGCTCCTCCGTCTATAGGGTAGTCAATGACAGAGGCAATGACCTGGCTTCATGGCCAGGGAAGAGCTTGATGTTCCCTCTAGAGCCCCTTCATCTGGGAATCAAGGCAAGTGATTTAGGTGTGAGGTTGGTGAGTACGGGGGTTGGGGGGAAGATGCCACAGACATCTGTGGAGGTACGTACCAGTCCTTGCACCATTCAGATCCACCTCCACCCTCTTGTGATATCTGGATCACATATAAGAGCAAAATGCCCTCACTTCTTTCCTAAATGGAGAGATGCCTTTTAAGGTTGTAGCCTGTTGCGGTTCCTGAAAAGATTTGAAGAGGATTAGCAAACCAACATAGTTTCTGCAGCTGCAGCTCCTTCCAGGGTAGCAATTTGTATTCATTATCTTCCTCCTCTGGCACCCTTCTAGATTTTCCTCCCCTGCTCGGCATCACTTCCGCTGACCTGTGCTGCTTGCCTGGTGGGGTGACCCAGACCTTCCTCCTCAAGGGATCTGAGCCCTTACGCTCCTTGCCCTTGTCAAACTGTGGTTGATGCAATTTACCCACTTGCATGGAAGACCTAAGAGATGCCCCAGTGATTTCCTGGGTTCCAGACATACGCTTACTGCCATTGCATATCAGCTACCCTAGCTTCTCATGCTACAGGGTGGGTTATCCGAGTCAGTACAGTCATTCCTTTCTTTACTTGGTAACCCATCGGCATGAAGACCCCCCAAATGGCCCATTCCACCATTCTGTCAGGCTGACTGCTTTGGATGATGGTGTCTATCCTTGCTTCATAAAGTGTGTGTGTGTGTGTGTGTGTGGCGGGGCAGGAGGTGGGGGGAGCAACATTGGCATCCCCTGGGAGCCTGTTAGAAATGCAGAATCCTAGGCCCCACCCCCGACCTACTGAATCAGAATTTGCATTTTGACAAGACTCCTGGTTGATTTGTATGCACGTTAAAGTTTGAGAAAATTGCTGTGCATGGTAAGGCCAACAAATCATGTGCACTGAAGCTGGGCAATGCCTGAGGACAGAGAGAATAAGGGGGTGACAGAGGTGGGGAAGAAACGTGGGGTGTAGGGTGTGGCTACAGATATGGAGCAATGCTTAAAGTGAATCATACTCAACTATTAAGTTCTTTTCATTTATTGATGAAGTTACTTCAAGCTTTAAAATATCCTTTGAGTGTAGCTTTTTCTGTGCCCCATAAGATTTTCAGTGAAGAGGTTTCCTTTTCTTTGTTTTCTGGATAATTTGTAATTTTACTTTGCTTTTCTTTGATCCAAGGGTTACCAAACTGTGTTTCTTACATTGACTTTCCAAGTAGTTATCATATTTTGGTAAGCTTTTTAGATTATTAACTTTTTTTTATTGAATGATGAGCATAGAAGATAGTCTATGAAATAATTAGTTTATTGAATTTTTGAAGAGTTTCCTTATGACCAGGTAGATGATAAATTGTGATAAATGCTTGTGTATGTATAAAAATGTATATTCTGTATTTGAAGAAATATTTATTTGAGTTTGTGGATTATATTTTTAATTCTTCTATGTACCTATTTTTCCCTATCAGAGCTATTGATTTTGAAAGAGATATATTGAAGCCTTCTACTGAAGTTGTGTTTTCATGAGATTCTCTTTATATTTCTAATAATTTGTACTTTCTAATTTTTACCTGCTATGTTGTTTTGGGCAGAAAGTTTTATGCTCAATACATCCTAAATTGCATTACATTCTCTTGCTAAATTGCATAGTAATAATGTCCTTCTTTATCCAATTTGGAATTTTAATCTAAAATCCTACTTGTTTGATGTGAATATTGCTCCTGATTTTTTTTTAACTTTATTGGGGAACAGTGTGTTTTTCCAGGACCCATCAGCTCCAAGCCAAGTCGTTGTCTTCAATCTAGTTGTGGAGGGCACAGCTTACCAGCCCATGTGGGAATTGAACCAGCAACCTTGGTGTTATGAGCACTGTACTCTAACAAACTGAGCCAACTGGATGCCCTACTCCTGCTGTTTTGTTTGTTTCCAGATCAAAGCCAATTTTTGGATCCCAAACACATTGACAAGGCAAGTGTTATCAGCGTGGTCCTGAGACCGGCTGCATGTGCAGGGGTTGTATTGTGTCCTATTAATCTTCCTTTTATAAGGTTCCTTCAGGGAAGATGCCCATTGGAATCCTGAGGAGTCGCTCCTAGAACTTAAACGATGAAGTGGCACTAAATGGCAAAGAGGTGGGCTGTAGTGGGCCCTGGGGGCTCTGCCCAGGGCCCCCCTTCAAGAGTGCAGGACATATTCCCATGGCTGCTGGCAGTGCTGCCTGCATACAGTCCTCAGTTGTCAGTATTCTTCAGGAAGCCCCTGAGCTGAAAAGAATTGCCTCACCCAAGGTCATGCCCTTCCCCTGGGCAGCCCCAGCTCCCCTAACGCCTACTTGGGACAACTCTGAAGTGCCATCAGAGCTTCCAAGTTCTTCAAGGAGTTGGCTGATGCTTTTATTGAGTCTGTACCACAGCCCACTTCCTCACTCTGCCCAAGCCTTTCTTCCCTTTCATAGAGAGATAGAGATAGAGGAGATGTGGCCAAGTCATAACAATTGTTGACTCTAGATGGCTCATATAGAAATGTTTATTGTGACATTCTTCTGCCTTTCATGGAGATTTAAATTTTTACAAAATACGAAGGTAAAACCAGAATCCCTTTGTTCTATTTTTTAATAGGTGTCTCAGTGGGAGCAAAATTAAACTTGAATGTCCAACCTGCTGTTTTTACTGCAGACCTCTTCATTAATTGTAAATCTTTTTGCTTGGTTTTCTAATACAGTTATTTAAATCTGTCTGTCTTCCTTTGAATTTTCCTTTGGTCACATCTCATAGGTTCTTCTATTTTGTGTTCTCATTATTAGTCATTGGAAATAATTTATCATTTCTATTTTGGTTTTCTCTTTAACCTGATATGTGGTTAAAATAGTACATTTTGGATATTTGTGTCGATAGGGATTTTGTTGGTGATGAGGTTTTTGTTTGTTTGGCTATTCTGGTTGGTGATTTCTAGTTCTATTGCATTGTGGTCTGTGACACGGCCTATAGAATTTCTGCATTTTGGAATATAGTGAAATTTCCGCTAAGAATTCTGGGGACATGATTGCTTGAATACATCCTTGCTGTTTGCATCCTTCAATTTAAAACCAGCTACTGAGCCTTTTTGGAGGCAAGCAGCTTCCGAGGTTTAGGGCAAAAGCAAGATCTAATTCATCTCTGGGGCCCAGAAGAAGGGAGTTGGCAGAGAAGCTTTCTGTGTTGAGGTCCAGAGGGAGCCTAGTGCCTAGGGGCCCAGGGCCGGGAGTGATGGTCGGGAGAAGAGCAGTGAAATCTGAGAGCACGTGACTTATGAAAATCCAAGGACCCCCTGAGGGAGGGCCTGCACCTGTCCACATGGGGTTTCTTTGGGCTCATTGCTCTGGCACTCATAAAACTGTGAGGAAGTAACGAAGTGGCTGAATTCTCTCTTCCCTGAGAAAATGGCAGCTGAGGAGAATAGAGGGCAGAGGGCATCCTTCTGGGACCAACAACTTACCAGCTGGAGCATTGCTGACCCAGAAGCACAGAGACTGCTGGGCTGTCCGTTACTCGAGAAACTGACCCTGCTGTAGACCCCCCAGCAGCTGACTGCGTGCCTCAGTGAGCCAGCAAGGAAAATACCGACAGGCCTGCCAGGACCTAGAAGTGAGAAAGAGAAAGAACCGGCACATCTCAGGAAACAGAGAGAGGACAACCTGAACAGAAACTGACCATGAACACAACCTCTCAGGAGCTACAAATGCAGTGTGCACACACACAAACACACACACACTCACTCACACACTCACACACACTCATACACACACTCACACTCACACTCACTAACACACACACACGTTCTGACTAAAAGGAAAATCTCATGTTGGGACTAAAACTCTAGGGAGATAAATCAAGGGAGAGGACGGTCACTGTTGAAATTTGTCCTGAAATACCAAATGGAGAAATAAAACAAAACACAAATAAAAAATTCAAAGAGATGGAAATCATGAGAGGTTCAAGAGAATGATGCAGGTGACCAAATATTTCTATACCAGGGGTGCCAAAAAATGTATCCAAGTGGACAATTTGGTCAACGTTGCTCAAGCAGTAGTTCGCCGTAATCAAAAGTGTCTGGATGCTGCTGGGAACCACTTTGAGCACCTCTTGTAATTGCAGAAGTCAAACATGACTTGTATTCATCTTTTGTTATCGGTATATATTGAGTATTACAATTTTAATACAGTTTTACTTTCTTAAAATGTGTATACATTTTTTGGCACCCTCTGAATTTGAATTATTCAATATTGGAATTATTATTATTATTGGAATAATGGCAATTCATGAAATGGAGGAAACGGAAGTCAGGCAATAATTAAACAAAACAATGGAGGAACCATTCCCTGAAATTTTTTCAATAAAGACTTGATCTGAAAATTTGAAGGGTTCACCAAATTCCAAACTGAATTTACAAAATTTAATACTCACCTTTAGCCATGTCCTGGAAAAAAGGACTGAACTCCCAGTATAAATATGAAGCTTTCCAACTTCCAGAGAGGGAAAATAAGTAACTTACAAAGAAAAGCAATGAAACTGGCTTTGGCCTTCTAGTCTGTATCACTGGATCAAACAATGATTTTGCATCGGCAACACTGGAAGCAAATGATGATATAATAAGATCCACAGGCTTCAGAGAAAATAAGAAATACTGAGGGAAAGAGTAATAATAATATGGGACTATAAGCACTGAAGGATCTCAGGCTGGTATTTGGGGAGGGGCAGATGGAGGTGGAGAATAAAAGCATTTAAATCTCTTTGGGGGCTGGGAACATGGAGATGTATAAAAGTATTACAAATGGGTCATCTTACTGTGGAGAAATCGATGGTATTTTTTCATGTAATGAAAGAGTCTATAATTGTGATTATGCATTTTATTCTGAATAATAAAAAGTACTATTCTATAAAGAACACCCAAATCCAAAAGAAAAAAAGATAATGGCTATGTTATCAAGGCAGCAAAAAAGAAGAAAAAAGAAGATAGAAATGACAAAGTAAATAGTAAGCCTGAATTGAAATGGAAGGAATAAAATACAGTATATCCATTTTTATACTAATCTCACATGGGCTAAATTGTCCTATTAAAACCCAAAGTCTGCTAAATAGAATTACAGAACAAAACCTCAGCATATGTTATTGTTAGGAATATGGTATCGATTAGAATTGCATGTAACAGAAACCTGAATCACAGTGGTTTAAATACACAGGGCATTTATTTTTCCTTGCCTAACAAGAGGTAGGTAGGTAGGTGGTGCAGAGCTGAGGCAGCCACTCAGAAAATCTCTGCTCTCTGCTGTCCATGGTAGATTCCCTTCACCCTTAACTCCTCTGCTGGACACCGTGGGTTACCTGGTGGAGTGTCCCCAACCCTCATCTCTACGGGATCTGAGCCCTCCGTGGGCACCATGCCATTCTCAGTATGAGGCCATTGCTCAGCAGGCCATGATGTATGCACATGTCCACTTACCATCAAAATGGGGCAACCCCTTCATATTCCCAGCTCAGGCACCTTCCTCCTGTTCACTGGTCTTGAGGGACCCACCACACGCTCCATTCAGCCATAGGTATACACAGAGGGAGAGGTGACAGGTGGATGAAATGGGAGTCTGTGTTGCTTGCTCATGCAGCTTACACGGGCCATGTGGTCTTCCTCTGCTCAGTCCTGGATGTGCCACTTCCATCCTGGCACGCTTCTGCACCCCCACCCCCACCCCCGATCTGATGACTCGATTGATCTGACAGAATCCAACTCATTGTGGATAGTTCTGGTTTTACAGTCACTCGGTCTCCCATGGTCAGGTGCTCCATCCATACCCGGGCCAAGCAGCCTGCCAGGAGCTATGTATTGAAAGGGGTGTAATTCTCTGCTGCAGATGACATGGCCTGGCTCCAGATTCCTAGGGATCTGAGTTGTGGTTTCCCCACTGAGACTTGCCAAAAACTCCATTCAGCAGCGCCTTTTCCCACCACTGATATCTCTAACCCACAGGGCCTGCTAGGTCATAAGGCCCAAGTTTTGGGACCACTTGCAATGCAGCTTAAACTTGCTGCAGAGCTTTTTTCTGCTCCGGGCCCCTCCCAAAGAGGGTGCCTACTTTTCACCCAGTATTACGATCTGTGTCGTATCCCCAGATTTGGAATATGCTGCCCCCAGAATCCAAAGAACAGGGTGCTTCTTTCTTTGTGGTGGGAGATGAAAGATGCAATAGCTTCCCCCTTCCTCTGGAGGGGTTGTTCCAGCACGCTTCCTGAAAATGTTATTTATTTGGCAGATTCTCCATCTTTGAAGAGCTTATCTCAGCCTCTGGAGAGCTTGTGTTTTAGGAAGGCCTCCCCGTTCAAGCCACTTCACCCAGTCTAATCAGCATATGTCATCAGCAGAGAGGATCGACATGACATTCCTGTGGGTGTCCAGCCAGCCCAGGTCTCTTCAGACTATTATCACGAAAGAGGGCTGAAGAATTAACTCAGTCCTGGGGGCAAGACTGCGTGTATACCGCTGCCCATTTCACCTGGATGGGAACTGCTTCTGACCCCCTTGTCGATAAGGATGGAAGAGAACACATTAGCCAGATCAGTGGCTGCACGCCACGCACCCGGCACGGTGCTAACCTACCCTTGCAAAAACACCACATCTGGCACAGCAGCTGCATCGAGGCTACTGTTTGGCTGAGTTTGCAGTAGTCCATTGTCATCCTCCAGGGTCTGTCTGGCTTTTTGTTTTGAATTAAACAAGGTAGGTTGGGGACTACCACATCAGCATCATTTAGGCTTTTAAGGGTGGCACTAGTTTCTGCCATTTATCCTGGGATGTGATATTATTTCTATTTTTTCTCTTGACCAAGTCCAGGGGGTCCTGTTTCAGAGGTTTCCACTGGCTTTCCTCACTCCGATGACTCATACCATACAGGACAAGGGATCAACGTGGAAGTCATGCCAATTACCAATATGATGTCTCTCCCAACTGGGACTGGAGAAGTGACCACTGGATTGGCCAGTGGGCCTGTTGGGCTCGCTGTAAGCCAGACTCGGGCCAGGAGTGTATCTCCTGCCTCTCACATGCCCTCAACTTAACAGAGAGGTCATGATGATGCTTTGGGTCTCTGGGTATCAATGCCAACTCGGATCCTGTGCCAACAGTTCTTAAAATGTTTGTGTGTTCTCCATTCCCCAGCATGTGGTTATCTGTCATGGTCTTTCAGGGTCCTTCTAAGGAGCCAGCCTCTCCTCCAAGTGTTTGGAATCCTAAAACTGGCTCTGGTCTGAAGTGAGGGATTGTGACCTGTTGAGGAGTGGCCAACCACCTGATCAGGAAAGTTAAATTGTGAAAAACAGGTATCTTAGTGTAGAAGAGGCACAGGGTCACATGTTTCCATGTATAATATGTTTAGGGAAAAGACTGGAAGAAAACACAGTGGCCTGTGAGCCATACTTACCCCTCGGTGGTATGGCAGCACTGTGGATGGTTTTAATTTTCTTCTTTGTATTTTTTTGCATTTTCTGCATTTTTGTACTATAGCAGGTATAGTGGGCCATGCTAGAGATTACCTGTGCATATGTGTGTTTTCTCTCCTCTGGAGAGATTGTAGAAAATCATCTTGGCATAGCTGGAAGTGGTTGTCGATTCCTTATTCTCCCAAGGAGGGGTGTGGGTATCCAGTTTCACTTAAGAGGAGTCCCCAGGAAAGACTCCTTTTGAATCACTGTTGGTGGCCTCTCTCAGAGGCATGGAAAGGGGCCCCATTGCTTGGGGAAAGGAACTTTAACCAGCCCCTTTGTTAAAAAGGGGAACACACACTTACCATACAACCCAGTAATTTTACTCCTAGGTATTTACTCCACAGAAAACATATGTCCATTCAAAGATTTACACATGAATACTTACCTCAGCTTTATTCACGATAGCCTGAAACTGGACACGACCCAAATACCCATGAACAAGCGAACAAACGAACAAATCATGGTGTAGCTTTACAATGGACTACTACTCAGCAATAAAAAGAAATGGATTATTAATACATCCAAAAACATGGATGAGTCTCAAAATAATTATGCTGAGTGAAAGATGTCAGCAGTGTTTGATTCCATTTATAGAACACTCTCTAGAAAAAAATTCAAACTAACCTATAGTGATTCAAAGCAGATCAGTGGTTGCTTGGGAATGGAGGGGCGGGAAACAGGAAGGAGGGAATAAATATGAAGGTGCACAGGGAAACGTGTGGGGATGATTAGAATGGAACACTACAGCTCAGGTTTTAAGTAACAGCTCCCTCCTCAAGGATGCTTTTTAGGTATTTATTTCCTAATTGTTCCCTTCCCCATAAACATTTAATATCACAGATATACTGTATATCTGTTTATGTACTATAGTCCCTTGAGGGCCACAAACCATGGTCATATCTAAGTTTTTTTTTCAGGCCCCAAGAACCAATTTTCACCCCCTTGGGGGCAATATTGCCCCTATTGAGAATGCATAACCATTCCATAAGAAAAAAATTGAAGCAGGCAAGGAAAAATTGGTATTATAATTAAAGCGATCGGATTTTATTCTTTGATGGAAACATAGTGACACATAACTGTGAAAAATGTTTCCCCAGCACTATGCA